TGTGATATTAATATTTTTTATTCTTAATATATTTGGTGACTTGCTTTAAAATTAAAGATTATATTTTCATTAAAAAAATAAGTTTTAGATGCATAAAAAGATAAAAATTATACTTTTTAATTATAAAAATGTATGAATATAATCTTTTGGCATTTAAATCCCAAGTAGGTAATTATTAGCAGGGGATTAGAGGATAGGTAAGTAGGTATAAATAGAAAAAACAATACAAATAATAATATGTTTTAATTTTTGTTTTTTATAAGACTATATATGTATGCTATTTTGAATATTTTCTAAATTAAAAGTGTATGTTGAATGTTTTTTATTTTTTTCCAAATATATATACCTATTAAAAATATATCATATTCTATATTTTAAAAATAAAATTACAAACTATTGGATACTTATCGTATCTAATACAACCTCTTAGTATCCGTGCATCATAACTTCTAATAGTATAAATTAATTTTTGCTGTTAAAATTCAACTTAAATAGTTCATACTTGATTGTTCCTTTTTCCTCGATTAAAAAAAAGTTTTTTAAGTGTGTCTATTTATATTCACACCGATTTAAATTATAGTGGAGATCTCATACTTCAACAGTCATAGCCACATTCTCACCCACACAGATTAACTCAGCGTCTGCCAGTAAGACGTTTAACGATCGAGAAAAGCCAAGTATGTTCAGGCATAAGTGATAATTTATGATTATCAAAGAAATAAAACTGACATCACTTTGACAGCCATGTGAGGCCTGTGTTGGATTCTCGCCATAGTGTGGGTGGGACCCAAACAAACAGGTAAACGACAAGGTCTTTCTTTGAGAAACACATGTTGGGTATTTCCAATTGTCGGTCATTGCCTATAGTATACGATAACAGAATTAGCACGTGATTAAGAACCGTCGAGGATGTTTCATCAGCAAATTTAATATCTGGAGCATAATACGAGCCATCCTCCTCCAAGTTGTCGCATTCATTACTTCTTGATCTCGTAAAAACGTGCTCGAAGCTTCCACACCTTGTGACTCTCTGTTGCTTCGATCCAATCTTATCAATTAGTTTCTAACTATTGAATTATTCGAGTGAATGATATAGTTGTTTGAGTTGAGTGTTAATCAATTCAAGAAAAAAGTGAATTATTCAGGAATTTTGACATGACAATGCAACCGAAGAAAGCTAATAATGATAAAATTAATATACCCAAATGCCTACAAGGCGAACTAATTTAACCTGTCAACTCAAAACAAATCAAAAATAAAACTCTTAAACAGCCTAATCTACTAATCTAAATAGCTCAACGACAAGGATGAATTAACTAATTTACCTAACTTACCCTGCAACTGCTAACTAATTAACAAATTAATAACTAACGCATTTCGTAAGAATGCCTTGATGGACCTCCCGGCCCTCAAAATGAAGGTTATCTCGTTGGACCCCCCCCTCAAAAAAAACCAAAAAAAAAAAAAACCTTAAAGGATCCTACCAATTAATTTCAAACCAAACCAACCTTGTAACTAGCCCATTAACTAAGCTACTATTAAGGAATTATTATATTTATCTAACAATTTTGTGATGGAAAAATTACATATAGATTTCATAGGGTAGATTTATTTACAAAGAAAATCTCTTAAAATTCCAAAACCATAATCAATTTATTGGGACTTGAGTATAATTTAAAATTAGGTGCAAATATAATAATGCCCACATTAAAAAATACATTACATTGATAAAGTAATTTATAACTATTTTATCATTAATTTATAACTATTATTTCAACTTTTCACCGCTATAACTTCACGTATGCAATAGTTAAATTGACCATATACTACAATTTTAATATTAACTGTATATAATTATGTAATTTACAACTACCATTTCAACATTTTATAATTATAACTTTATATATCTAATAGTTAAATTA